AGAATCCCTTTCTGTGGAGATAAAAGAAGTAAAAGCTAGTCAGGATGAATAAAAAATGCTGTAACTGAGCTGCAATCCCACAGAGGCAAGGATGGATGAGGTAGAGAAGTGAATCAGCGATACAGAGGACAAACTTATGGAGAATAATGAAGCAGAAAAAAGGGGGGAAACTGAGGCAAAAGAGCACAATTTAAGAATTAGAGAAATCAGTGACTCATTAAAAGGAACAACATCAGAATCATAGGGATCCCAGAAGATGAAGAGAAAAACATTATTATTATGAGGCACCTAGATGTCTCAGTTGGTTAAGCATCCGACTCTTGATTTCAGCTCAGGTCATGGTCTCACAGTTATGAGTTCTAGCCCTGCATCGGGCTCTGTGTTGATAGTGTAGAGCCTACTTGAATTCTCTCTCCCTCTCTCTCTGCCCCTAACCCACTTGTGCTCTCTCGCTCTCTCTCTCAAAATAAATAAACTTAAAAATTTAAAAAAAAGTCTTATTTTTATGTCACAGGTGATTACATATATTTAATGTATATATCCATAATATCTCTATCTATGTATACAGAGAGGGAGAGTGAAACAAGAAAGCACAGATTAGTAAAAATCACTTGTAAATTTACCCTGAAAGAGAACCTCTTTTTTAACATTTTGATATATTTTCTATTATTCTATACATTGTCTTGTAGCCTACTCTTTTCTCTTAACTGTTCTTTTTGTTGTGCCAACTAAACTGAGTAATGACACTGACAGAAAAAATATCCCACGAGTAAGAATTTGTCCCAATGAAATAATCAGAGATGTACATGAACATATTTTATGGAATAATTTATACTACTGAAAAATTAGAGGCAATTAAAAAATATATCAATACATTGATTAAGTAAGTTATGTGAATAGCATACTTAGGTAAATGTATACAGTGGCAAGGAAAATTACCCATAATATATCACAAAAGGAAATATTTCCCTTTACTGGCTTTATTTTATAATGAGAATATACCTGTATAGTATATTGTCACTAAAACAAAGTTAAGAGGGATGCCTGGCTGTCTCAGTAGGTACAGCATGTGACTCTTGATCTTGAGGCTATGAGTTTGAGCCCCATGTTGGATGCAGAGAGTACTTAAAAATAAAAACATAAAAAATGAATGTAAAGTCTATAAAAAATAAAACAAAGTTAAGAAATTAAAGAACAGTGTGTATTTCATAATCCCATTTCATATATAATCTTATTATGTAATATTATATATGCCAGTTTAGTTATTATTTGGCATATGTAATTTTTGTATTTTAAATATATTGCAATATATTTATGCATATATAACCATGCTTATTTAGCGCGGGGGGGGGGGGGTCACAGATTAAGGAGAGACTTCCATTTCTTTTCAACATGTGAATTCTTTACAATGAGCATGTATTGTTAGAATAACAGTTGAGGTTTTTCTTAGGGGGTTAGAGGGTTTTTTTTTTAAGTGGCTCTCTAAAAATACTGAACCTGTTTCCACTCACTTGGGCAAGTGGCCCTTGTACTCAACGTGTGGTTCTTAGACCAGCAAGAGAGGCATCACCTGGAAAGTTAGAAATGCAGAGTCTCAAGTCCCACCCCACGCCTACTGAATTAGAGATCCACAGTGATGGTATGCACTTTCAAGTCTGAGAAGTTCCGCTGCAGAACAGACTGCTTTCTTTCTCTGGGCCTGTTTCTTCCCTACTCTAAGGGGCTGTAATCGAGGTGTCTCTATGATCCCTTCTGGTTGCAATTTTTCTAAGCTCATTTCTTACAGTTTTCTGCGTGAGTCACTATAAAAAGGCAACTGAAGAGACCAAAGGATGAGAGGCCTGGTTGCAAAGCCTCAGGCAGGTGGGCACAGGCAGACGCAGGTGGGCACTGGAGCAGCTTCCTGATCCAGGTCAGGAGGAAGCCTTGGGTAAAATGCTGCCTGGGATTTCTCCCGGCGCAGGGGCGGAAGGTCGCCCAAATGGACCAGAGTGGAAGGTGTCGGGCAGTAACAAGGCGGCAGGAGGCGCTGTGAGGTGCTGGTAGAAGGTGCCGCACAGATCCAGGGGGAATGCAGGGTGCTAGTTGGCCTCCGGGAGGCGGCAGGCACTGTACCTCGCCACCGCAAGGCACCGTGCAGGACGCACCTGGGCGCAGAGCTGCCTCAGGGTGACAGGGGGCGCTGCGGAGTCGTGGCCGGCACATCCTGGGCCACCTGGGGAATACACCTGGGCAGGTGGGGGCGGCCCCGAGGGGGCGGGGTTCCAGGGGCGGGGCCCAGGTCTGGCGCACAAGAGCCGGAGGCCGCGGCAGCGGCGGGATGCTCGCGCTGTTACCGGCAGCACAACAGAGCGCGCACGGATCGCGCACCCCCGAGCCCCAGACTCTTCGGAACTGAGAGAGGTGAGCCGAGCCGGGTCGGGTCGCATTAGCTTGGGGGTTTCAGGCACCGGAGCGGCCGCGGGGCCCGATGGCTTCTCGGACGCCGTCCGCGCGGTCGGTGGTGGAGCTGGCTGGCATCAGCCCGGGGCTGCCTCCCGGTGGCTGGGATGCTGGGACACCTTCTCAGGCCAATCCGGGTCCAGCCAGCTCTCTGGCGTCTGCCCACGCCGTCGCCCGGGAAGCAGAGCTAGGGTGACAGGCGTTTCTGGGCTATTCAGGGTCCGGGGCTCTGGGGGTCCCGGGCCGCGCCTCGCCTTGTCTCTCCGCCCAGCACCTGTTCAGGCCTTGGCGAGACTTGGCCGCGATTGTTCCTTTTGCTCTCTGGAATGTTTTCTCTGGGGTGACCGTGGTTGCAGAAAGAAGCAAACACTTGAATCGGGTTGGTTGGATTCTCTCCGGCGGCGTCAGCAGACGTGACTTCTGCCACAGCACAGCGTGCGGTCGCTCTGTGCGGGGTGGGCAGGGGCTGCAGAGACGCCAGGGGGGAGCTCGAGTCCCACTCCCAGAGCCTGAGGCTTGGGGTCCCTTCCTGGGGTATAGGAGATAGGCAAGCTCCGGGGTGGTGGGGCGCAGTAGAGAATCGCTGTCATGAGCGGCCCTGGAATTTGAAAAACTCCTTTGAATTCTTGCCATCTGGGTGGCCTTGGGCAAGTTACGTAATCACTCTGCACCTCAGTTTCCCCCTCTGTGAAATGGGGACGGTACTAATACCTCATCTAATTATAGGGAGCATTAAATAAGGTAATATGTACAAAGAGCTGAGTAGGATGGCAGGGAGTCCTAAGGGATCAATAAATGATAGCTGCGATTATTGCTGTTGCTGCTATTGTTGTCATTATTATTACTGTTGGGGAGCAGCACAGCTAGTAGTTAAAGGCATGGACTCCTGAGTCCAAATCCCAGCTTGGCCACTTTCTAGTGTGACCTTGGACAAACTACTTAACCTCTTGGTGTCTCCATTTCATTTGCATAATGGGGGGAAGTCAAGGTGCCTACCTCAGAAGTTTGTTGGGGAAATGAAATGAGTGAATACCTGTAAAATACTTCAAAGAGTGAGTGCTCCCTGTCAGCCATTGATTCTTCCACAAAGGCATAGTGTTTGATCAATCAGCCGGACCTTGCTCTCCTCTGAAGTTGTAACACTGTTTCAGTGCACATTTATCTGTTTTGTGTTGAGCAGATGGGTTCCCTTCTCTCACCTGTGGTTTCACTGACATTGGGGGCTGATCCATTGGAGTCAAGGTCAGTCCTGGAGAAGAAGCTGGTGGGGCAGAGGGACCCCAGGGGTTGTCTTCAGCGAGAAGAAAGAGAATTAGAGATAGGAGTATCCAGCATCTGCGATTCTGAACATTCGCAGAGGAGAAAACCTTCCCTGCGTGGCCATTTTGTTTGACAGGAAATTGAACCTGGATCCAGATTTTTAAAACAAACTCTTGCTAAGTTTTTTGCTTTTGAATGTGTGAGAGAGGAGTTGAGGATGGGAAATGCTTTAAATGACAAAACAAAATAAATTACATTCCTCTTGCTAAGAGACCAACGGCATAATTTTGAGGGTTGAGAAGGTTTTCTCCATCCCAGTAAGGTCATATGTGTCTGTGGGGGTGGGGGTGGGGGTTGGAGGGAGGTGCCTGCCTCTGGACATCTCACTTGCTGCCCGCCCCCCCCCCCAGCCCTCTTATTTTCTTTACATCATAAACCTGTAACCCACGAGCATCATAAACTTGAAAGCCTCCCAGCTTTGCCCCAGCTTCCAAATTTTGGACAATATCTCATGGGGTCAGGGTGGACAAAAAGTAACTCCTGAAGTGCAGAATCCTGCCTGAAGAACTCGATGGGACAAACTAAAGCCCAGACACAGGCCCTCTGAGGGCATGGGGACCACCTCGCATATCCTACTCCATATTAAGGTATTCCCTACTCTGCCTCTGTCACCAACGGCAGGTGTAGAAGGCATAGAGTTTCCTGGGGTACATAGGTGGCTCAGTCGGTTAGAAGTCCAACTCTTGATTTCATCTCAGGTCATGATGTCACGGTTTGTGGGATTGAGCCCTGAGTCGGGCTCTGTGCTGACTGCAGAGCCCAGCCTGCTTGTGATTCTCCCTCTCTCTGTCTTGTGCTCTCTCTCACACTCTGTCTCTCTGTCTCTCAAAATAAGTAAATAAACTTAAAAAAAAAAAAAAAAGAGGGACGAATTTCCATATACCTTCCCTCCCCCTTACCAGTGCTCACAACTGTTGGGAGGTGGTGACACTGACTATCTAGAGTTTGGAAATTAAACAGCACAGGATCCCGGGGCACCTGGGTGGCTCAGTCGGCTAAGCATTTGACTTCAGATCAAGTCAAGATCTTGTGGTTTGTTAGTTCAAGCCTTGCGGCTGGCTCGGTGCAGACAGTTCAGAGCCTGGAGCCTGCTTCGGATTCTGTGTCTCCCTCTCTCTGCCCCTCCCCCACTTATTCTCTCTCTCTCTCTCTCTCTCTCTCTCTCAAAAATAAATAAACATCAAAAAATAAAAATAAATAAATAGCACAGGATCCCTTCTCTTTCCTTCTTCTTTGGGGAAGAGACAGTACCCTTCAAAAATAGTACTTCTTTGGGGAGGAGCACAATACCAGGCCCCTCAAAAGCCTATACCATGGTGGTGAAGGCTGCAAGGTTCTAATCCAGTCCTTCCACTGAGTAGCTGTGTGGTCTTGCACAAATGACCCCACCTCTCTGGGCTCATTCTCCTCCTCTATAACATGAAGGTGACAGTAGTGGTTGTTGAAACACAAAATGAAATCTATGTGGATTTTATGTATATAGAGAGACTTTATATATTTATGAGACTGATGAAACTTTATATAACCATGAGGTGACTCTTTCTTTATGTATATAATGTATAGAATACACAATACACATATATTAGTTCATTTCTAAAAAGAATGTTATTCCATGTTGTGAAGTTTCTGTAAGTGAAATGCATCATGTACACTGATGAATGTGATAGTTTGTTTTCCAACACTTTCCCCCAAACAAAGCTGTTATCTCGTCACAGTGTATTCCCCCAATTAGTGATACTTTAGAATCAAGGAAATAGGGCATTGTACCTGGCAAATATTAAGTGGCCAATAGTTGTGGGCTATTGTTTATAAGGTTCTCTAGAAACACCAAATGCTTGACTGTAAAGAGAAGAAGTTAAACAGAAACGAAACAGAAACCCCACTTGCAGGGAAAGCGGAGGGGAAAAGCCTGGAAAACACGGCTAGGAGTGGACCGAACAGGATCCAAGTTGGCTGCCGAGAAATTCTCTTGACAGATTGCATCTGTCAGAAAATGTTGGTGGGGTACTTGCTCAGTGCCAGATACTGAGCTAGGCACCAGGGGTAGGTGAGATAGGAATGCTGCCCTCCAGGGGGCCAGGTGGGAGGAAGCGATAAGGTGCAGGTGGCCATATTCTAGATAGGGCAGAGCGTGATAAGAGAGGTGCAGAGGCTGAGGTGTGGAGGGCTCCTGCTCCAGGCACCCAGGGGAAAGGTCCTTCAAACCAGTGATTCATGGGTTAAACCCCACCCAGCCCCCACACGGCTGGGCCTGGGGGCTGCACAAGGAGGAAGCAGCCCTTGTTGCAGCTGCAGTGGCCAAAAACCCAAATATCCTGGAAAGGGGGCCGGGGTCTCAGAATGCAGGCTGTCCAGCCCACAGAGGGAAAAAGGAAGACGGCCTCTGAGGGCATGTGGGCTGGTGTTTCCCCAGAGTCTGCCCTGTCCCTGGAGGCTAGGGAGTGTGAGGTCACCCACTTTTCTTCTCTGCCCCTCCAGCTTGCCTGGCCCTCAAGTCCCATCCTCATCATGGCTCCTGGAGAGAAGATCAAAGCCAAAATCAAGAAGAATCTGCCTGTGACGGGGCCCCAGGCGCCTACCATAAAAGAGCTGATGCGGTGGTACTGCCTCAACACCAACACCCACGGCTGCCGCCGCATCGTGGTGTCCCGCGGCCGCCTGCGGCGCCTGCTCTGGGTTCTCTTCACGCTGACGGCCGTGGCCCTCATTTTCTGGCATTGTGCCCTCCTCATCTCCTCCTTCTACACCGTCTCCGTCTCCATCAAGGTCCACTTCCAGAAGCTGGATTTTCCTGCTGTCACCATCTGCAACATCAACCCTTACAAGTAAGCGGCAGGAGCAAGGATATGGAGTGGGGGCCGGGCCCCCCTCGGAGGCCAGAGCCCCACTCAAAGATGACACGTGCCAGCCCACAGGGAGGCTTTTTAGAAATCTGAATTTGCTGCCAACATTGGTAAACTCCCTCCCCCAGGTTCTAAATCTGTCCCAAGTTGTCAATCTATCAGCTGCTTCTGAGGCTGGACTAGCTCAAGCTGTGCAGGAGTGGGAGTCTGCAAGGGTCAGTTTCACTGGGGGGTGGGGACTGGAATGTGCTAGCAAAGCCTCCCACCCCAGGCACGTGTGCACACACACACGCACAGGTATGTATGTATAGGCACACACAGCCTAGCTTAGCCATTTCCCCCTGAGCCCTCTAAACTCACACCCTCACTGTCCCCGAAACATGAGCTGGAGGCTGACTCAGAAGTGACACCCAAGTGACTTCCGGAAGCATCTCAGCTGCCCCAACCCTCATTTGAGTGAATCCAGCCCCACTAATTGAGATCACTGGGCTCTGCGCAGGATCAGCCATTGGTACTGCCCTATTGTCTGCCACAGGGCCTGTTCTAAATGGGTCACTGGAGCTGTGCTCAGGATTATTGAAAACTGATCTGTGAGGCAGGTCAGAATCTGGCAGAATTTGTCTGAGCAGGTGTGGGCATGGGGAGAAGGGAGGAGCAAGGGAGGAAGAGCGTCAAAGGAAACTAACTGGTCAAAATCAAAATCAGGTCTAAGCCTCATTCTCCACCTCAGAGTCTTTTTGTCCCTCCCTCCCTTTCTTCCATCTATCACTTGCACCATAATCATTTACTCAGTGTCTACAAGTTGGCATGCACTGTACTCGAGTCTGGGGCAAAGAACTGAACAACCCAACACAGTCTCGGTCCTAGGGGAGTTGAGTTGTAGTGCAGGAGTGAAATATTAGCAAATATAATTATGCTAATAAAATTAATAGTCACTGTTTACACACACATACGATAAACTCATTGAATCTCTCCAGTGATCTCATTTTACAGATGAGAAAACTGGACACAAAAAGGCTAGGTGACTTATCCAAGTCCCATGTCCGGAACCAGGATGGGGAACTGGACCCCAGGTAGTTTGACTCTGGAGTTTACACCCTCAATCATGATGCTGTGTCGTCTATGCAGGGAGCAAGGGGCAGAGAGAGGAGAGAGGGGAGCAGTTGGGAGGGAGGCCAGGACTACTTGGTATTATGGAGACTTGAAGATGGCGCTGTGCTTCATGCGGCCAATTCCTGTATCATTCTTGTTCCTGGGGGTTATTGAGGTGATAGTGTTACCTTTTTTGTCCCAGGACTGATTGGAGAAGAGTCAGTGTGCAGGGGCAAGTGTGCTAGGTGGAGACAGAGCCGGTCCCCTGGACCCACTTCCAGTTAGCAGTTACTGTCCTCACTGTAATTGTCCTCACCGTGGCTGGTTTATGGGAGGCACCTGACAGTCACCACTCCAGAAATGCTGGTCGGGGCAAACTTACCAACACACCCCAAGAGCAAGCAGATGGTAGTGGCATAAACGAAGCCATGAGAAGTCACACAAGGGTCACACGGGAGCCTGTCATCACTTTTCAAGCCAAGAGTCACTTTGGATGGGGCAAATCATAAAAGGCCTCCTTGGCCAAGGAAGCGGGGGAGAAGTGGGCTCAAGGCCGACATATACTGATGGGAAACAGAGGGAAGAGGTACCAGCACTCTGTCAGTGGAGCTCCCCTCTCCCTGACTCCTCCCTCCCCCCTTGGCAGGTACAGTGCAGTGCGGGACCTTCTAGCCGATTTGGAACAGGAGACTAGAACGGCCTTGAAGAACCTGTACGGCTTTCCAGAGAATAAGTCTCGAAAACGCCGAGAGGCAGAGTCTTGGACCTCGGCTTGGGAGGGCACACGGCCCAAATTCCTCAAACTGGTCCCACTGCTGGCTTTCAGTCAGGATGAGACCAGCAAGGCCAGGGACTTCCTCACAGGGCGGAAGCGGAAAGTCAGTGGGAGCATCATTCACAAGGCATCAGATGTCATGCATGTCCACGAGTCCAAGGAGGTGGTGGGATTCCAACTGGTGAGATGCATGTCCTCACAGCTGGGGGCCATGGGATGGGCTAGAGATGGTGGGTCCACGAAGGTTTCTCCTTTGCCATTGTCTCTATGGTCCCGCTCAAAGAAATACACCCAGTTAAGGGTGAAAATTCTGCAAGCAACTAAAACTGATTCAGGTAATATTAAGCAGAAAAAAAAAAAAGTCTTAGAAAGGAATCAGAAGATCATGGAGGCCTGTCAAAGGACAGAAATTAGGGAAGGTCCAGGGATCTAGGTGGCAAGAAATGGTGAAAGGTCATTTCAGATATGGCTGCTGGATTCAATAAGCTTTCACGATTTTCAGGCTTTTTGTTAATCCATCCATAAAGACGGATTCAGATCCCATCTTGCGACTATCTGATTGGCCAAGTTTGAGTCGGGTCACCTAACAGAGGGTGAGGTGTCATGATGGACAGTCTCATCAGACTGTATCCGACAGGGGGAAGGACGTTCCACAAAAGGAAATTAGGGTACAGATACCAGAAGGAAGAAAATAGGTAATAAACAACAGAAACACCCAATGTTCCCTGCAGTACTTGCCTTTGTGAGGTGCTGCGGCCTGACTTTTCCTCTCTCCTTCTCAGTCCCATTTAAGGGGCTCTAAGGAAGCAGCCAGTCACCAAAATCGAATTCCATTAGTGTCCTGGGCAAAGGCAATCAATTACGCTACCTCGCCATGCCCCAGGCATCTCTCTAGGATGAGACCTCTCTTCTGTACCTTATACTTGGCTTGCCAGTTGTGAGACCTTGGAGCACCAGTTACAAATCCTGGAGAAATGGCCCTTTCCCTTAATCATCAAGACTTTTCTTTTTTTTTTTTTTTTTTAATTTTTTTTTTCAACATTTATTTATTTTTGGGACAGAGAGAGACAGAGCATGAACAGGGGAGGGGCAGAGAGAGAGGGAGACACAGAATCGGAAACAGGCTCCAGGCTCTGAGCCATCAGCCCAGAGCCCGACGCGGGGCTCGAACTCACGGACCGTGAGATCGTGACCTGGCTGAAGTCGGACGCTTAACCGACTGCGCCACCCAGGCGCCCCTCATCAAGACTTTTCAAAGTCTTCCTGGGTCTTTTCACAAGATACTCTCTCGGCTATCCTTGATAGCAAAATCAATCCTTCAATGCCTGTCCTTTTGAGAGAGATTCCAAACCCAGTGTGATGAGAACATCTGGAACATACTACAGTCTCCCTCTAAGGCTCTAATTATTACATATTTTAAATGCTGGTCATCCCAGCTAAGGATGGCATTTTAGTTAACATTTGGTAGGTGAAATAATGGAGATGTCATGCCTTGCCCAAGATCCCGCGGAAATATCATGTTGAAGTCTGGGTGAGGATCCAGATTTCTAGACTGCTGATCCAGTAGGAAATGGCTAGAGGTGGGTAGGAAGTCAATAGCAATAATCAACCAAAGCCTGGATATCTGGAGACCCTACAGGAGCCGGTTTTTCTTCTTACCCGGTAAGCAGTCACAGGGAGCCATGACAAGTGGGATTCTGTGTCCTTCTCTCAGACCCTTCCAGGTCCCTGAGGCTGATCCTCTCTCAGCCCTTGGAAGTAAGAGGAAGCCCATCCTTGCTTCAGGTGTCCCTCCTGTTCCGGTCTAGAGTCCTAGGTCCTCATCCTTACCGTCCTTCTCAAGGCCAGTGGTAGTGCCAGTGGCTTCAGCCTACTGTCTCCTCTTATTCACAGTGTTCAAATGACACGTCCAAATGTGCCGTCTACACCTTCAGCTCAGGGGTCAATGCCATCCAGGAGTGGTATAAGCTGCACTACATGAACATCATGGCACAGGTCCCTCTGGAGAAGAAAATCAACATGAGCTACTCTGCTGAGGAGCTGCTGGTTACCTGCTTCTTTGATGGCATGTCCTGTAATGCCAGGTCAGGAGAGGAGGCTGCCCTCTTAGCTCTGAGGACTGGTGGCTCTGAGCTCCGAGTCCCTTGCCTGCACCTGCAGCTCAGCTGTGGGGCTTGGGAGTGAAAGATGCTCTTCTCGCTGACCCTGCCCTTTAGAAAACAGCTTACATGGGATCTAGGCTCTGGAGTCACTGAGGAAGATAGAGATGGCATAGAGTCAAAGTATCTTTGAACTCATTAAGTTACTCATAAAAACAGAGGGGTTGATGGTATATGTATAACCTTGCATGCTACCATCGTGCACACCAACAATTGAGAACCACTGATCAAGCACAGAGGAAGAAATGAAGGAAAGAGAGGTAGGAAAGAAAGAGAAAGAAAGGTCTATGTATAGATGGGTGAGCTCTCAAACTTTTCTGCCTTTAAGATAACACTCAGATCCCTGGTGGTGACTGAGCAGTGATGGGACATTCTAGAGTGTTCCTGCCTATCTTCATTCTTTTTAAACACTAAGCCTTTCTATCTGTTAGTAGATACATTGATCTTTATGAAACTGAGTGATTGGAATCATATCTGCCTAAGCATTAGGTTCTAAAGTCAGTGTAAGGACACACGTGATGTGGTTCCTTCTCCTGGGATCATTTCCTGGTGTTGGAATGGAAAAATGTCAAGTGTTGGATGAGAAATTCATGAGTAGAGGAATTTGGGGCAGACATAGGGCACAACGAGAGTCACACTGGGATGGAGACAGAGCTGGGAGGATTAAGATGGAGGAACAAAGCAGAGAGTAGTCCTACATTAACGTGTGGCAGCCGGGGTGAGGGGCTTTGCTTGTGGTTTATTAGACAGAAAGTGGAGAAAGTAAGTCATGTCTATTATCTGTTGTCCACAAAAGAAAGTTGGCCCTGTAAGCCCTTCCCATCCAGCCTTTAGCTCAGATGCATGAGGGGAGCTCCCACCAAAGCTCTTTCTGACCCGTATTCTTCCTTATAGAAACTTCACGCTTTTCCACCATCCAATGTATGGGAATTGCTACACGTTCAACAACAGAGAAAATGAGACTATCCTCAGCACCTCTATGGGGGGCAGTGAATACGGTAAGGAAATCCGCACCAACAGTGAGCATCCTGGCAGGAGGGCAGTTGGAGTGCCCGAGCCTTCCAGAAATGTGGGATCTCTCCACCTGGCCAGAAACCAGGGACATCACTTCCCCTTTGGCTGTGCTGTTTCTATCAAGCATCCATGTTGGCTCCTTCTTTTTTTGGTGTCTGTTTTCCTTTTTGACGTCTCCTCTACTTTTGAGAGAGCAACAGTGATGTCACTGGGGTTTCTTCTCCTGGCAAACCACTCTGGCTCAAGCCTGCAGCTAGGGAATGAGTAATGTGGGGCAGGCAGACTTCAGATGGACTTAAACCCAGATGTGCCAAACAGGAGATTAGGGAGGCAAACATACCTTTATCTTGGTTAAGATAACACATTCTGCAGCCAAAACCCACAGCTCTGCCACGGACTGTGTGACCCTGTCCAAGTTATTGCACTTCATCTACACAGTGGAAATCATGATAATGTCTCTGCTTTGGGGTTATTGAGAGGACTTCATATATGTAAAGTGCTTAGAGTAAGTCCTGGCACATGCTGTATTAGTCTGCTCGGGCTGCATAACAAAATATCACGGACTGAGTAGCCTAAATAACAGACGTTTATTCAGTTTCCCTTCTGGAGGCTAGGGACCCAGGGTCAAGATGCTGTGAACTTGGTTTCTGGTGGGATCTCTTTCCCTGGCTTGCAGACAGCTGCCTTCCTGCTGTGTCCTCACCTGACCTTTTCTCTGTGGCAGAGAGAGAGAAAAGGAGAGAGAGAGAGAGACGGAGGTCTGGTATCTCCTCCTCTTGTAAGGACACCAGCCTTATGGGATCGGGGCCCTCCTTATGACCTCATTTAACCTTTATTAGCTCTCTAAAGGCCCTATCTCCATTACTATCACATTATGGGGTAGGATTTCAACATATGGATTAGAAGGGGAATACAATTCAGCATTTAACACACATGAAACATACAATAACTGCTGGTTGTGTGTTATCATTACTACTATTGGTACCATTACTACTCCCACCACGACCAATAGAACCGTTATGACCTCCAGTACTATTACCACTGCTCTTACTACAGTGACTTGTGTAGCGAAGGCAGGAAACAGATGGGCCTGGCAAAGTCCTAAGTGAACTGAACATGAGTTGATATACAAATATGCTCCCACAAGGAAAGGCAGGAGAACCCCATATGGACTCCCAGCCTTTGCTACTGTGTAGTCTGTACTCTTACCAAGTCTGCAAGAAACCATAATCCAGGGCACGTACTTCAGTGGAAAGAAGTAGTCTGGGACCTGGGAGCAAAGAGCTGCAGAGTCCAGGCTCTGCTGAGCATGTGCTGTGTGACCTTGAGCAAATCCTTGCCTGCTCTGGGCTTCCATTCCTTTATTTACAAATGGAAGAAGTCAGAATGAACTCTCCAAGTTTTCTTCCGTCAATCCATACAGGCCACGAGCTCATTTGCTCTTTCACCAAACATTTATTGAGTGCCTGCTGTATGCCACGTTCTCTTCCACGTGTCAGAGACACTAGGGTGAACAGATGCCCTCTCTGCTTCCAGGGAGCTTGAATGATAGTGGGGAGAGACAGACAATAAATGAATGAACAAGCGCATGGACATTATCTGATTATAAATCCTAATGAGGACTATGAGGAAAATAAAGTAGTGAAGGGTAAGGGGGTGCTGGGGTCAGGATGGGGGTTTTATTTCAAATAAGGGGCCAGAAAGGCATCCATGGGAAGAGTTAGTTAGGGGTGAGAAGATCCTTATCATATTAAGGTCCACAGAAGAGCATTTGGGGCGTTATCAAGTACAAAAACCCTGCGAAGGAAATGAATTTGATGTGCTCTAGAAACAGAAAGAAGTCCAGTGTACTTGGAGCTTCTTGAGAGAGCAGAGAGGGGGCTGAGGAGGGAAACACAGGCAGGGCTGCATCATCATAGACATGACAGCCACAGTCAAGTTTACAGATTTTATTCTATGGCATTTCCTATGTATCCAGTGAGATGCCACTGAAGGGTTTCATGCAAGGGAGTGATCTGATTTACAATTCTAAAAGATCCCTCTGGCTGCTGGGTACAGAATTGCCTGCCAGGGTAGGAGGTGAAGTATGGAGAGGAGTTAAGCCAGGGATCAGACACCGTTAGTGCTTTTCTCTAAGGGCTTGAGCAGCCACAGCACTGCATGTCCATTTGGGTGCTCTGCCAAACCCCTCATCTCAAAGGACCATGTCGAGATGCATGTTTTTGGACCCAGGAGTAGTTCCTTTATTGCTCAGCAGAACTGCGGCAGTGACACTGTTTTTGGGGGACAGAGCAGTGAGCAAGTCAGTCTTCTCCACGAAGCTTCCAGTCTAGCCCTGTACACCTTTCACTTTGTTGGAAATACCTGCATTTTGGTTTTGAGACTCCCAAAGCAGCGGGAGAGGTAGGCTACCACCAGGTAATGTTGAACTAGCCTTTGACCACAGCAGCCTCTTCTCCTCTCAGGGCTGCAGGTGATCTTGTACATCAACGAAGAGGAATACAATCCCTTCCTGGTGTCCTCCACTGGGGCTAAGGTGATTGTGCATCGGCAGGATGAATATCCCTTCATTGAGGACATAGGAACAGAGATCGAGACGGCAATGGCCACCTCCATAGGCATGCATCTGGTAAGAGAACATTCTGATTTCTATAGGGGAGTCGAGGAGAACAGACTTCTTTTTTTTCCCCAAAGAAAACCAAAAAGGTGCGGCTTGTGGAACAGCATGCTGGTTTCAAGAGAAAGCAAAGTCTTGATTTTCTAACAGTTCCTGCAAAGATCATTCCAGTAGTTAATACTATAGGCTATCTTTGTATCTTCTATATTGATGAAAAAGGACACAGGATGCCATTTTCGGAAAGAGTTGAAGGAACCTTCCTTATTGCAAAAACAGACACTAGCATTTGTTTACAAGAACTGTGTTGGAAGCAAAGCATCAGACACTAACTATGTTTGTCACTAATATAAATAGAGCAGATTAACACCTTTCTTTCTGGGCCACTTAAAGGTCTATGAGGCATGTAAACCACTCCTTAAGAACTAATGGGAAGTCACTGGGCCATCAAAGCTCTATTTAGCCAATATTTAGCCATCAATTTCACTTTATTTACCAAGAACCCCCTTCTTCCTCAAGTCTTTGACACTCTCTGACCTCACTGGCTGCCAAGAACACTCATACCTGTCAACAGAAACATATCTGGGCTGTAGACTCCAATGCCCAAGTCAACCATGCCCAATGGGAGCAGAAGGGCAAGGCAAGGAGTGTGCGCCAATGCCTGCAACCACTCCACTACTTATGCAGTTTTCTTGTTTGCAGGGTTGGGGTCTTGTTATGCCAGTAAGCTCTCCACCTTTTGTCTCCATTCCTCGTAAACCTGTCCTCCAGAGCAGTGGTTTCCAAACCTGACTGATCAACAGACTCAGATCCACTGATTCAGAATCTCTGGGAGATGAGCCCAAGATCTGTGTGTTTACCAAACTCCAGTGATTATTCCAAGAGGCAGCAAACTCAGGAACCTCAGCTTTAGAAAGTTGAGTAGTTCAACATGAGAGGAGAAGTGAAGTGTCTCTTCCTAAGCGAGAGTGAAGCTAGAATGACAAAAGCTTTAGCACAGCCATAAGTGATGGCTTTGTCCTGGGTTATAAAGTGACATAGTGAGCACTGGGGCTTGTATATCCATCCATTACTTGTCCATTCAGCAGGCTATTTTCTGCATGCCATTATGGGCTGGACACAGGGACCACATCAGAGTGGAAGACATGGTCGCTATCCTGTTAGAGCTTAGAGTCCAGCAGAGAGGACCAATAAGAGAAAAAAATTGGAAAAGTGATTAATTGTAATCATCAGTACTAACAAGGAGAAATGCAGGATGCATGAGAACATATCAGGGAGATGGCTGACCTAAAGCTTTTTTTTAATGAGGGAAATGGGGAGTTCCAGGGGTGATTTCTTGAGAAAGCAATATTTAAGCTGAGACAGCTGAGATTATGAACTGGCATGGTGATATTCCAGATGAAATCTGTGGCTTCAGTGTCCCATCATAGGGACAATCCTGGGGGAAAAAAAACAAAAAACAAAAAACCATCAGGATGGTTTCCTAGAACCTGAGTGCTCTCGGGAGCCATGTTGTTTGGGGGCTTTGTTCCAATGTGAGAAGTTTGTTTCAACATGAGGAGTGTTGAGTACCAACTCAGACTGTGTGAATACTGATTGTCTCTCCCCTACCCCCCAAATAATCTTGAGCGCAATCTATGACACTGTGGCTTGAAAAGACTTTAGGGTATCCCTTAAGGGTCTGGGTCATTGATTCCTCTATTTACTGGGACTGCAAAACCCCCTAATCAGAATAGTCAACATTTTCATCTAATATTTCCCATGCTTATCTGCATCCTGAATAAGGACTTGGGATTTGCAGTACATCCTATCCATTAACACATGTTTATTAACTATCCTTTTGCCCCCTTCTTCCTTTCTGCCCCTCACAGTGTCTGCAGACTTGGAGGAGAGGATTGAGAGCTTGAAAAAGTACAAGAACTAAGGAATTCTGCCCTCTGATTTTCTTTACATATATA